TATTATTTAGTGTTTAGTGTTTATTTTAATAGAGACTTCACCTTCCTTTAACTTCCAGGTAACAATAAGATGAACTTAAGTGGTACTGGTTATGAGAGTAGATCAACTGAAAGGTTAAAGACATGAATACTGCAGCAGCATTTCCTTTAGTTTGATGGTCCAGACTACCTTTAGGTTAGATGTACTCAACCCACCTGGTTGAGTACATCAGCACCACATGCCTTGACATTTAGGCATGGCTCAAATATTTTGGTTGAGCAATGTGTGAAAGGAGTGCTTATTTCATCCTACGACAGTGACTGAAATGAGTGTCTCTAAAATGATAAATTTAGATTTCATTTTTCTTCCTAAGCAAGTTCGTGGAAGGAATGGGGGGGAATACTACAGTAAAAATTAGAACATTCCTTTTCCTTGTCTTCAAAGAATAGAACGTTCCTTTTTCTCCTTTTCTCCTCGGGAGGCTTTCTGTGCTAAGCAGTTTAAACCGCATCTCTTTAATGAGCAGTTGAGACAACAGGCTCCAGGTTGATTTGTATTCACTGGATTGTACTCATCCTGAGTTTTATTCTTTAAAAGACAGCTTTTGCCTGTAAAACACAGTGCTATACATAGATTATATATAAGTAAATATATAAAAATATATGCTTATATGCTTTATCTATATATACACAAGCATATAAATGGATTATATGTATAAAAGTGTATATATATGTATATGACATAATAGCATAAAAAAATTAATGTGATATTAGAAAAGTAGGCTCAGGCCGTTAGGGTGTTTGAAAGGCTGAGTTTCGTTTTCTGGACTGGTACTGTAACACTTAGGCCATTGCGCAAAAGATAATTTCTGTTGCCTGCCTTCCTCATCTCAACTTTTGCTGAACTGCTGTAAGTGATTTTGAGGTCAGCTGTGAAACTGCTGGGTATTTTCTTCTATTAGCCATCATAGGTAACCATAGTCATGCATTTTTAAACTAGCTTTCATAGTAGTGAAAGTATGAATGAAAGGATGTTGGAAGTGCAAGAATGACCTTTTGCCACAAATTGCAAGATAAAAAATAAAATTTAAAAAACTTTCCCTTTATTTTCTGATCTTTGCTAACTCGGGAGCCTTCAGCTCTAATTCTTCAGTGGTTCCAAGTGGTCTAAATTATTGTTTTGCAATTTCACACCTGTTCTAGTGACATTTGTATAGTTGCTAGTATTTTGCATCGTTTATATTGGTTTTGTGTGTCCTGTTTGAGTGCTGATACCTCAAGAGGAAAGTCTTAAATTCTCTCTGAAAGAAATTATAAGGATAGCAGAAAAATGGGGAATGAGTTATGCACAATGCTTTATTTAGTGACATAAAGTATTGCTCCCTCGGTGACCCTTTTTATTTTTGTGGTTCAGTGGTTTTTGGCTTTTTTTTTGCTTTTTTTTCCTTTGATTGTTTTTGAGATGGAACTGTAATTGATAAGTTGTGGATAGTAATATCTTAATTTCTTTTTTGTGTTGAGAGGATGTTCCTTGTTCCGTTCTGTTTGCTGTTCAGTAGCTTTTACCTTGCCAGTGGTTCTTCCTAAACTCTGTGATAGTCCACATACCATTAGGAATTGTGTTGGATGTCCCACTGTTTGATACTCATATCCTCAGTTATATGGATATTTCACGAATCGATTCACTTCTGTGACTGAATGAGCTACGGGCATGCACTGCCTGTGGGGAGAGAGGTTGTAGAATGGAAAGATTGATGAGTGATCCCTTTAGAGCACAGAGACTTATTGAAAGACATCCATTTCCTTGCTTTTACGTAGTGCTGCAGCATTTTTTATCCTCCTGAGTCTCACAAACTTGACACGACTGGTCAGTGAGCTGATCAGCCGTGTCTTTGTATGCTGGAGAGAGAGAGAGAGAGGGAAAGGAACCATGAGTTCATGATTTTGCTGATGTTGAAATAGGTGGGCATGAGGACCATTGATTGAGTTCTGCATGTGATACTCAGGACTTGACAAAAGTCAGTCTTTCTGATGGGAAATCTGTCACTGCTTTGGCTTTGCCATTGCTCTGTTTAAATCCTGTGTTCTTTCAAACTGTTCAGTTGATTCAGTGGGATAATAAGCACACAAGGGTCTGTGTTATATTTAAGTCCAGAAATGAGAGAAAATGTGAATGTTGTTACTATTACTATAACTCCATGATTAGAGGAAACATCTGATACTCTCTGGAGTCTTGATTGCCCCCACCATTCCAGCAATTGTATAGATTTGTTTGCAAGTTTACAGTTTATGTTGTGCTAAATGCCATCAATTGAGTTGCAAAAAGCAAAGGAAAAATTCACACTTCTATAATTATAGTCTGGTTTATAATTATATTTATTTCTTGTACCCTAGTTGAGCATTTCAATAATATGTGTGGTTTTTTTACACAGTTGCATACCCCAAAGAGATTAAAGGAATATTGTGAAAGACTGATAGGAAAGCAAAATCAGTCTCTGTGTTCATTCACTATTGACAGTGATGAAATCCAATGAGATTTTCTCAGTCTTGGGCCACAGTGTTGGTAAAAATTACTGTCTGTGTTTGAATTTGGCTAAATCGAATACTGAAAATGGTACTCTTCTACGTTTAAATAGAAATCTGTCTCACAGGTATGGATACAAGAAACCTGTTGTTTAAATTAAAATTCTTCTCCTTAACCATTTCAATATCCCTAAAAAAAACCCCAACAAAACAAAACTCTTGCCAAGTTTAAATGTCTGGGATCTGATTTTGACTTACTAAAATATCTTGAATACACACAATTAAAATAATTTAAGATGGTTTGAACTCCTAGCAGAAGGATAAATCATAGGTGTATTTCATCTGGAAAACTTAATGCAAACTTGGGATGGGTTATTCAGACAAAGAACTCAAAACTAATGATTAAGATGAGCTTACCAACTAAAAGAAGCTTTCATGCCAACTAACCCTATCTCCTTGATAAACTACAGATTATTTTAGAATCACAATAACCTAATTTTAATAAATTCAGGATGTGTAAAACATTCTGAAAAAATCGAGTTCTGTATTCATTCATGAGGTCGTAATCTTCTGTAATAAACTGTCCTCATGTGTAAGTGATTGATAAAGCTGAGGTTTAGATACTGCTTTGATGCTTACTGTACCCTCTGCCTAGGTAGATCTGCACTTCTAATTCTGACCCTGCAGTGATTTGATCAGATCATGCACTCCACTTATACACTGTGGTCTGTTGCCAGGTGACCTGTAGGTCTTTCTGAATACACATCAGCATATTTTTGTGCCAGATCACAAATTGAGTAATCCAGTGCCTCTGTCGTTCTTGTCACTTTATTTGTATTTATTGTGACTAGTTTTTGCACACTGTAAACAACACCAGTGGAACTGCCTGTGCTGTTACATAGAACAGGGGTCACTATAAAAATGACTAGAAGATGATATGTGACTGGGGAATGAATATTACTCATTCCCAGTGAAATGTAGCAAGTAGATGGACAGAACATCCTGCTGATAATGTCCATGTAAAAGATATATCAAGAGATGAGAGCTAGAAATGAGAAGAGTATTTTCATTCACCAGTCAGCTATGTGATACTTTAAATGCAGGAGACTTTTTAAATTAGTATCTTTATCTATGGAGTTGAATCTTTCACTTTCAGGTAGATTAACATGTAATTATCATAGAGACTCATAGGAAAATTTTCATGTTCTAGAATTTGTTTCCTTGTTTTGTTTTAATTCTGCTTAGCTTGCTGTGTGTTATTTAACAGGATGAGGATTAATTTTCTTTCTCAATTTTAAATTTAGAGTAAGAATTTTATGTCAGCTAGTGAGTCTGAGATATAGAAGAAAAAACAGTGAATAAGAAAAGAAGGAAAGGGGGAACTGTGAATTTTAAACATTGTATTCTTAATTTACCTTCTCACATTAATTATTTCACTACTTTATAATCTATAAAAATGTTTTTACATGGCAAAGGACATGTTGATAAGTGAAGTCCTGAATTTCTCTAAATAAATCTCAGAAGAGCAACTTCTTTCTTTCCCTTTCTTTCTCCTTTTCTTCTCTTTCATTGCTAAAGTGATAGTAAACATACCTTTAGAGATACAGAAGGCAAAGACATGCATGACAAGGAAATTAAAGCATGGTTAACAGCAGTAGCTGACTTTTCAAAGGACACTACTTGAAAAGATAAACAGACTGGTAGAAAAGCCAGTGTTCAAGATCTTTGCTGAAATGAAGCCAAGAGCTGAAAGTATATTTCTTCCCCATATTAGTGTTAAATTAAATATTAATGACCTTCTTTTTCAAAGATTTGTTGGGGTGGGGGGGAGAAAGGACAGATTATTTGTTTCTATTAAAAAAATAGCTTGAAAGCTAAAACATCTTTGGTATATAAGCTGCCAAAATTCAGCCTTAAGTTTACTCTTGTCTGAAATCCCCTGGAAATACAAGTGGGTGTGTTTTGCTGGAGTAATCCCATGTAAATGCAGTGCTGCCAGCAGCACTATAGTAATGACTGTTACGTCTTTGAAGGCACTCAGAACCTTCTGTTCAAAGACACTCTTAAATAATTAATTCTTTTTTTCTTTTTTCAATTTACATGGAATGTGTAATGACATCCCCCAAGTACCAGATTTCCTTCCTTCCCTTCTTTTCTTTCTCATGAAAAGCATAAATGGAGTGTTTTAATTAAGACACTTCTTGCTAACTTGGATAGTAAAGAAAGGTGATGAAAGAGAAGGTCCAGATAGTTCTTTGTTGAGACCCGTAGTTACTACAGAAGTGACAGCTTGAAAAACTTGGGTACCTCTGAGGTGATCCTGGAAGTCTGGATTCCCCTCTGCAAACAAAGGGAAGGCAGTTTTACCCGCTTCAGTATGAGCCCTCTGGCTCCTGGCAGTTCACTCTCTGACCATTTATGTGGTCCATTTGCAAGACAGCTGCCTAGCTGGCTATACATGGGTTTCATTTTCTTTCTTTTCTTTTGTTTGTTTGACAGATACCGAGCGTCTCTATTCAGTAGTGTTCGAAGAGATCTGTGGGCGTTTTGGAAAATCATATACCTGGGATGTGAAATCCTTGGTTATGGGTAAGAAAGCCCTAGAAGCGGCAGAAATTATTCGAGATGTTCTAGATCTTCCAATAACCAAAGAAGAGCTACTAAATGAAAGTAAAATCAAGCAGGAGAAGCTATTCTGTACTACTGCATTGATGCCAGGTATGTTTCTTTTCAATATTTACAAACTCTTTATGGAATTATTTAAATGCTAATCAAGGCAGAAGTTTGTAATCTGTCTTCCACAAAACAGTTTCTCTTACAGATTCGGTTTTGTTGCTGTCATTTTAGCAAGTCTTACTCAAATCCACCTGTTATTTACCAGTCTAAAGAGATATTTTACCTGTCAAGGAGTACAGAAAACTTCTTTCCCTATTTACTTGGAGAAAAACTTTATTCTAGGTGTTTTAAAAAAAAAAAAAGGACTAGGTACGTATGCGTGAATTCTGTTTTGTAAACCAGCCATTCTTTATAATTGTTGTTGGCAGCCTTCCCTGACTATGAGCATAGCCTTGTTTTGTTAAGCACAAATAAATTTGCCTGCATGTTTAAAAGTATGCGAGCCCATGAGTTCTTTCAGTTGGGATTAATCTCCCTTAACCTGAACACTGAAACTCAGGTAACAGTGTCTGAGCGTGTCACTGGTGAGGGAGGGTTCCTCAGGTTGTCCTAAGACATGAGTGTTTCCTCGCCTTTTACCAGTGATAGTGCAGAATGCCCAAATGAGTAGCTTCAACCGGGTACCTCAAGATAAGCAAGAGGATGAATCTTATCTGTAGTGTGAATGGATACTTTTATATTCAACTACATTTAGATTTGAAATGCTCTAGAGAGAAATCCTCAACCATACAAGATTAGCGATACCTAAACCTAGGATTACTGGTAACTTTATGTACAATGTTAAACTTTCTGGAGCAAATAATTTATGAAGGAAAAAAAAAAGGAGGAGATGGAGAGGAATATAAAAAAAGTATTAGAAGTGAAGTAACTACATGTCACTGTACGAATTTGACTGTTATAATTTTTTCTCTTTGAACATGTACTCATTTGTTCTGACAATTTCTACCGTGCATTAATGTTTTAATTTTTAGATGCTTTTTTATACCTAGTTTCATAATACATTAGGAGAATGAAAGTTAAAAATATGTGATATGTTAGGAATAAATAACAAGCAGCAAAAATAAAAGGTGCTGGTTTTTTAGCAGCTTAAAAAACTTGAGTATTTTGTGGAGCCAATTTAGTTATCTCTTTAATGTCTTTTATGTGCAAGGTTTTTCAAATTGCATCTCTCTCAATCATAGTTCCACTTAAAACTGTAAGCCTAGTTAAACTCTCCAAAACAATGAGAAATATGGATTGATGTGTTTTTCATTTTTCGTGTCAAACTTCTGGGGCTAAATTTTCAGCTATATCTTTTGCAAACCAAACAAAAAACACGTAGTCTGGGTTTAGAAAATGCTGGATGGACAGACTGGGTAAAATGTTAGGAGGCATGGACAAGAGTTGCTGTAATGAAGCAACATAGGTAATAGATGCTATTAAGTGGATATTGTGTGCCAGCTGAAGATTGTGATAATGTGGCTGAGCTGGCTTAAACAGAGTTAGACAGGTGAGGGAACAGATTAGCTGAAGGAAACATGAGGTTTTCTGCTGTTCCTGACTTCAAAAAGTGAATTCTGGGCTTGCTGAAACTGGGCTATTATGGATGAAAACAGCAAAATTCTTACTGTGAGAAGCAAGTAAGAATCCCCAGAATTGTTCAACTGATTATCTTTTCAGTTCAACTAAATACACATGATAACTTTCTTCAGGGTATTTTTTAAAGCAGAATTGATGTGAACTAACATACTTTATGCTCACTGGCCATTGTGGAGAGCAGAGGCATCCTTGGTCACTAAACTGATATGATCTGTCCTTTACTTGGAGGCAGCATATGAGATACAAGCTAAATTGCCATGAATTTTGAGAGACCAGGCTGATGTCAGTTAATAAGGTAGAGGGAAATGGCTCCAATGCTTACCTTCTAGTTTCTTTAAGGACTGTTCTCCAATCAACCAGATTTTTAAATCTGATATTTTCTTCTGCCCTTTTGTGTCTTCTAAGAGTGTTTATTCATATAATCCTTGTGGATTTGCTCTACAGTCTCTTAATGTTCTTTAATTAAGAATGGGCTTCTTGCATATGTTGTGTAAGATATAAGACTGATGACATTTTGAGTTTACACTGTTCTCTGACTAAATCGATCTTTCAGATGGTTACAGGTAAATACAGGAAAGTGAAAGTTAATTGTCATATTAATGGCATAGGATGACTGAAGTGCTGTATCTCTGGCCATCTTTTGACAGTTAATATTCAGGTGAGGTTCTATTTTTTAATCAATTTCTAAAGTTTGCCAAAAAAATAAAATTGAAATTTGATTTGGTGGAGAGCAGAGCTAAAAAATGACCAATGATATTTAAAAAAGTGACTCAAGCAAATCAGCATTTGTTTCTGGATGTGGAATGAGCTCTGCACATAATTTTGCCAAACATGATAGCTTTATTAATTCCCAAATCAAGTAATTGACAGGTGTGTTGGTGATGGTTAAGGATAGTGTGGAAGTTGTACAAATATTCAATTGGCAAAACAGTTCTTTGTCTGACAGGTTAGAAACCTGTCCTGGTTTCAGCTGGGATAGAGTTCGTTTTTTCCTTAGTTGCAGGTATATTGGTGTGTTTTAGATTTAGTACAAGAATAAAGTTGATAACACACTGATGTTTAAGTAGCACTTGGCCCAAGTCAAGGATTTTTCAGTTTCCCGTGCTCCACCAGTGAGCAGGTGAACAAGAAGTCAGGTGGGAACATGGCTTATCTGAACTGGCCAAAGGGATATTCCATACTGTAGAACATCATGCCCCGGGTATAAACTGGGGTTGTTACATGGGAGAGGGACAAGTTGTGGCTTTCGGATGGACTGGGCATCAGTCAACAGGTAGTGAGCAATTGCATTGTGCATCACTTTTCTTTCTTAGGTTTTATCTCTCCCTCCCCCTTTCCTTTTCATTTTGCAATTAGTTGCATTAGTATTGTCATTATTATATTTTACTTTGTTTTGATTATTAATCTGTTCTTATCTCAACCTACAAGTTACCTTTTTTCCTGATTCTTCTCCTCATCCACCAGGGAGGACACATGCGGTGAGTGAGCAGCTGTGTGGTACTTAGTTGCCAGCTGGGCTTAAACCATGACACAGGCTATATTACAGCCATACCATTTAATGTGCAGCATTTCTGAGGCATGAGTGGTTGAAGACAGAATTCTGACTATTTCAATATGGCTGAACTGACAGACAAACCTCAACAGATCTGGCTGTGGTCAAAATACAAATTTCGTCTAAGAAGAGTCCATATCCATTTCTAATACGGAATTTTCTGGTAACTATTTGAGAGTTTTTCACAGTTTGATTTATTTTTAGTTTTGAAAGAATCTTAAGGAATGGTAGTTTTGATTCAGTGGAGAAAGAAATTAATCCAAGAGAACGCTGACAAAATGACAGGCCTGCCACTGTGCTGGTTTTCTAAATATTTCTGTAGGAGTACAGATATTGTTATCTGCAAGAGTAATGTGGTAGGTTTTCTGTTTCTGCAAATGCATTTTTAGCATGTCTGTGTTACAGGGAAGTGCATAGTCTGAAGAATAAGAAATGACAGGTGGAACAGAAGAAAACCATGCATATGTATATCTACCTATACATGTTTAAGTGTGCTTTTGCATAATATAAACCTAGAATATATACAGAGCCAGAAAAACTGAACTCCAAGTTATACAACTACCAACAGTTAATGTGATCATGTTGGGATTATGAAACTACTGCTATTCTTTCACAGTAGTCTCTGGTTTGGCTCATCATCATTATCACAAAGCACAGATCCTTAAGGATTGTGCGACTGTGTATGCCTTTCAGACATTTTCCATTCCTGGGTTGTTTTACAATAACTGGGATTTTGTTGTTGCAGCTCTTGTTCAGCCAGTGCAGAATGTGATGTGCAACCTGTTTTTCAGTTCAAGTACAGTTGACTGTTTCTTACAGCCATGAGGAGGTAATTTCATACCTCAATTTTAGTACCAAATGAAACCAGTCAGAAAGCATAAAAAGAGAAGAAAGGAAAACAGTTCAAATTTCAATGGCAACTCCAATTTGTTTTTTTCTTCAGCAGTTCCATTCAACCAGCAGTCTAGTGAGCTTAACTGTAGCTTCCTTGATGTTGTGCCCTTAACAGGTAAATAGACCTCCTAGCATGCTGTCTTTTCTTTTCCTTGCTGTTATTGTTTTAACGCTAGGAAATTCTAGTGAGTCAATGCTCGGCTCAGTGAGCCTGTAACCCCTAGATATCAGTCAATTAGCTGCAAACTCAGAATGATGCTTTCTGTTTAGCTGATTTCAAAGATTTGTCCTTTACATCAAGTCCTAAAGGATTGCAACCCAAACATGCTTTTATCAGGAAATCAGTAACACAGCTGATGCAGGTTCTAAATTATGTTAAATTTAGTACTTATATTTCTTCTATGGCCATGCATGTGTCAGTATGTCCAGACTAAAATGATAGTAATGATTCAGTGAATAAGGAGTCTCTGCCACCAGAAGGATCTCTGGTACTTTTTAGAAGGCAATAAGATGATAAAACAAAATTCTTTATTAGTAGTCAATTACCTTCCAAAGTGGGGAATAGGTTAGTAGTTTTCACCTCCAGTTTGTAGCTCAGGGAAAGGATAACGTACCCTTCCAGATAGCATTTTTAAACAGTGTATCATAACAAAAAAAGAAGCAGGTTGATCTGAGAGTTACGTTTCCATAGTCTCATGAGATTTAGGAATGGAATAGAATAGAATAAAACAGAACAGAACAGGACTATTTCAGTTGGAAGGGACCTACAACTATCATCTAGTCCAACTACCTGACCAATTCGGGGCTGACCAAGTTAAAGCATTCATGGCAATTAAACCAAGTAGTGGATAGCCCCACCTCTGTCACACTGTCACCTTCACAGCAGCAATCCTGACTTCCCCTGAGGATTGCAAGAAAGTGTAGATGATGAATAGCGCTGTGTTGATGGGCTTGCAATTGTTGTAGCACACCAGACTACATAAAAAATATTTTTGATGATTTTATGGCTTAAGTTAACAAACAGCAGCTTCTTTTTGTAAGTGAAATTTTTTTGTGTTTTGTTGAGTGCTTTTAATGTTCAGATGCTGCTGAGGTTTTTGCCGTATAATTGTTTTTATAAACTTTAAAGACTGTCATGGAATTGGCTAGAAATCTAGTCAACCTGCAAAACTCTGAGTGGTAATGCTAACTTTTCTTTGACTAAAGAATATGATGAAATCTTGAAAAACTTTAGGTTTGGCATCTTATCACATTCAATGTAGGAACTGTAAATGATTATGAAAAAAAGGAGCAGTCTTTTAAGACAGAAGCTATTTTTATTCTTAAGATTTTCATTTGTGCATATGGACATAAATCATCAAGATGTGTGTTTGCCCAGTTTATGATGGAGATCACTTTCTTGTGTATTTTGAAAAACATACCCTTACTGGGACATATTCATAGAAAAAAGGTTTGGTTAAAGACATATTAGAAAAGAATAGAAGAGCTTTATAGTATCTCCTTGTTTGTCTGGAAACATTTCAAAAGAAATAGATCTGAATGTGGAGATAGAGAAGTGATATAAGTTAAGAACAGTGTTATGTTCAGTGATAGACAAATACAAGAAAAGGGATGGTACAAAAATTTGAAATGATATGAGATAAAATATAGCAAAAATACACGTGTTGTTCATTGTTCTGAAGTATTCTGCATGACACAGAGACCATGTTTGTATAAAGCTAAAAGGAAAATAAAAATTCCCTTTGTTTTTCATCAATTTGTGCTAACTTTGAGGAGTTTTGTCTTGTTAATTTTCACTTCATAGTGAGTAATGCCATTTGATTAAAAAATGTGATAACTTTAAAAAAATTATGGGGAAAACAGTGTTGTAATAGCATGTAAGTAATTAGATAGGGATTCTCATTAGATCATTTTAGTGTAGCATTGTTTGGTTTCCTGAACTCTTGCTGTACATGTTTGTATTAGTCAATGAGAAGGAAAAAAGTGACAGTTAGCCCAAGGGTTTTGTTGTTCAGTATGAGTCTTATTTTTAGTTTGTCAGTTGATCCAATATATTAGTCACCATGATTTCAGCTGAATCTAAAAAGTGCAAACACCACATTTGGAGTCTAATGGAGGAGTAATACTTCCTTTTTAAAAAAATAAATATATATTTTTATATATGATTTTTTGCAATTTTCAGAACAAAAAGCTGATCTCTTTCTTGGAAATGCATCTGTGGTCTCAGAAGAAATAAATCCTTTCTGTTGGTTTAATTTGTTTTCTTTTTCTTTTCCCAAACTTGATAACTTCATTGACATTTGTGATTAATTAGGTGTTAAAGATGCTGACATTTAAAGTTGATCTTTCTTTGCAGCTACTGTAACAAAATTGAGCTTACAATTCTTTTCACCTATTTTTCTTTCCAATAGTTACCAGTGTTGAACTATTGCGTTTAGCATATATTGAGCTTCTGTGTCTGTTCTAAAACTTCTGTTCTTAAATGCTATTTAAAGACATAGCATAAAGAAACAGTATTTACTGCTTTGGTTGTCCGAAAAAAAATGAGTACATTTGGAAATAAAACATAGCAATGTGGGGTACTCCTGATTGTTTTGTAATAACTTGAAGAATTCATATACTGCATAAGATAGTTATTGCCTGTGTGCCACATTAGAAGTGTATCCTTATCCTGGAAGAACAGAGATCCTTATTTCTTTTGATCTTTCTTTATCTTTTGTTCTTGCTGTATGTGCCTAAGCTTTCAGTCAGAAGGCTGAAAGGTGGTCCCAGGAAGTCTAACAGAGGGGTCCCTCTGTGATGAATGGGCCCTGATGTAGCAACAAGTAAGTTAGAAGTTATCAAGATCACAGGAATTTTCAGCATAGTTCTTCATGGTCTTTGAATTCTTACTTGGTTGGTTTCATTGTCATTTGATTGAAAAATCTTTGTAGCTACAGAGGGTATAATAACACAGGATATACCAGGGGAAGTTTCTTACAGATCTTTAAAGCAGTTCCTCAATTCCCCTTCTCTTGATGTTTTCTTTTAAAAAAGCACTATAAAGATACTGAGGAAGATATTATCTTCCTAATAAAGAATTATGTGCTGAATTGGTACAATAATTGTGTCAGTAATTTGATGTGGTGACTAAGTGTCTAGAGCTATACTGGTGGTAGCTGATGCAAACAAAAATGGATTTTCTTGATCTATACCTTTTACAAAGAGGAAAGCAAACCTGGAATGAAGATATTTTTCATCTGTTTTGAGTTTGTCAAGTTATGCTAACTACTCTTCCAAATGCAGTTTAATTTTTTTCTGTGCAGCTGATTTGCTTTTTGCTTTTTCTCTAATCTATCTTGCTTTATTTAAACATATACGAATAATTATTTTTTAAATGGCATATTCTTATTAAAGTGCATTTTCTGAATAATGTAAATATTTGCTTTCTGGAGGTATTAAGGACAACTGCATTTTAGCTCCCTTGTTGTGAGGGAAGCCAAAAAGAGAAATCAAACACTCACCCATACACAGTTAGACACTAAAATCGTGATGTGCTGGGGGAATATAAGAGAGGACCCTGAAGAAATAACCTTTCTGCAACAGTGCTTTCCTATGGCTGACTACCTCCAATAGAAACATAGAATAAACATACCCTGTGAGAGATGAACTGAAGCTGTGATGCAGTGGGACTGAAGAAAATTAGCTATTTGAAAAGAGCACAACTTAAAAGAAAACTAACTGTATCATATCAAGGACTATGGGAAAAGTCTTCTGCTTAATCTTTGGACTTCTTTATATTACTACACACACGACGTGCTAGCCTTGCTAAATGTTGCAGCTTCTTTAGAATAAGTTCCTTAGAATGAATGCATTTTATTTTAAAGAAGGGATACTTAGGTTACTGCTTTACATTAAGGCATCCTAGTACTTCATTAATTTACTATAGACTTACTACATGTTTCAGAATGAACACTTAAACTATCTGGAATAAAAAGTTGAATTGTATTTAACGTCATATTTTGGTGAGAGAGCATAATAACATCATTTGGGAAAAATGCACTTGCTTAGTATAACCATTTAAGGAGGCATAGGAAGGCTTTCAAATGGATGATGCATTGATATTACATTGATTATTGTTTCTGTCCAACTCGAAATCTAACATCACAGAAGTGCGTGTATTTAAAGTCATCAAATATAACCATGGAGCTGGAAATGTCAACTATTAATTGTTTGATTAGATTCTGGAGAATAGATGAGAAATCTGCAGAAAGCCATACCTACAAGTCCTAGTTCCAGACAGGTGGATTAGTTAATGCACCTATTTAGTAATCTACAAACTTTATTATCAATAGTACTTACAACTTCTCCAAGTTGGGCATATGACTATACTTGGGAAAAATGTGTGGCAGATTAGGTGGTTGATTTTAGGATTGAAAGGCTAAGTCACATGGGAAATGCAAATCAGAGATGCTGGTGTGGCAAAGGAAAGAATTAAATGGGCATGAGGAGTAGGAATGGTTGGAGGGAGCAGGAACCAGACGTAACCATGACAGTGAATCAGAAGGAAGGAAATAAGATTATTTTAGTATAACCAGACATGAAAAATATAAGAACGCATACACTTGGAAGGTAAAAACAGAGAATTGTGCTCAACTTGTTTCAAAGAGCCAAAAGTCAACTGGAGTCTACTTGAACCTAAACTGCCTGAAACTAATATCCTGTCTCCAACACCGTGGGACAGATTTATGCCAAGAAGCAGAACTGAAATGATTTTACAGATATGGAGGGATTTTCTCTTGTGAATTAATAAAGACCAGACATCCAATCTTGTTCTTCATTACACAATGCTAATTGTTTTTTCTGGGAGAGGTATTCAGCATTTAGAATGCTGCAGAAAAAGAGCATTAAAACCCCTTCAAAGAAAACTCAAAACTTGCACCAAATAGCGGCGTGTGTTTCCCTCTTACAGAGACTGCTGTGCTTTCTCTGTTCACTGCATTAACCTTCCCTAGAAGACTGGATCAGCTTGAAGTTTCTACCCATTAGGCTTGAGGTGTTCATTACTTTGGGTTCACAGCATCAGTAGATAAAGCTCTGGTATTAACAACTGTGACTGACAGCTGCTCTCCTCTGCCTAGTGTTACTTGGTTTAATAATTGCAAAAGAGAGAAACTGAGCTCCCTTAGGGTCTGATTTGAGCCAGTTGGATACCTGCTTCAGAAATTAAAACTGTGCCATCCAGTGAGAAGAGTATATTTTTTTTGATTCTTTTCTCAGGAGCATAACTGTATATGAAAGAAAATGTTCTCCCAAACTCTCAGAGTTCGAAATAATAAACTTACATAATATGGAGACATTGCTTAATGACTTTCTAGTGGATGTCATCATGTAATGATGTTGAACCCATTTTTGACATATTTTGAGAAAAGCATCACTTTGATAACAGAACAAGTATATATATACACCTTGAGGAATGTTCCATGGTTTTTGTCTGGAGAAGGAACGTTTCAGATACAGCAAGAATTTTCTTTCACACTAACTGATTGAAGTAGGTTATTTTATTCAGTAAGACAGCATTGTTGAAATATTGCTAAATACTTTGTAATTATGTATAAACATTAATAGATGTACCAACATACATGCATATATATAAAAACTAAAACGTGTATTTGTCTTGCAGGGGTTGATAAGCTGATCCGTCATTTACACAAACACAACATACCCATGGCTGTTGCCAGCAGCTCAGGTGAAGACTCATTTCAGCTGAAAACAACCAGACACAAAGACTTTTTTGGTCTTTTTCATCATGTAGTGTTGGGAGATGACCCTGAAGTGAAGTGTGGCAAGCCACACCCTGATCCATTTCTTGTTTGTGCAAAGAGATTTCACCCTCCTGCACCTCCAGAGAAGGTAAGAAGGGGAGGGGATAAATTCGATTTAGGAATATTCTCTTTGGGCTATATTTGTTTTGTTTTTTTAATGTGATAAATACTTAGATTAAATTTAATATAAAGATTATAAAAATCAGCAACTTCTGTTTTCAAAGATGTTTGTGCTGTTGAAGGAAGAGATTTTCCCCCACTACATCTAGTGTTTGTAATGCAGATTGCTCTGATTTACTACACGGTAGCATGCAGTAATAGGAAAGTGTAATGATTTTCTGCTGTGTAAATAAATCTACAATCTCAATTTCACTATTCAAAGTTTGGAAACAGTTGTTTAAACATAGTTCAGTTTATTTTCCATAGCTGATTTGCCTCTTAAGTGTCAAAACATTAATGATGGTTCTTTGTGAACAGGGCATATATTTTTCCTAAGCCACATCTTTCCTGTTATAGTCTAAGTCTCTGAGATCATAGTTCTTGTTTCTGATTTAAAACTATCAGCTTGAGCAATCTTTCTCAAATAGTAGGTGTGTTTAGTTTTCCTCTCTTATATATAACTTTCCAAACTTTATTCTGAAATAGAAATCTACAGGGAAAATATTTGAAAGATAAACTGAGAGTTGTTAAAATAATGTCTTCACTTTTATTTTAAATTAAATTGTCTTTATCCCTAGAATATTTTTCTCACTTCTTCTCTGTCCCGAGTGGAACATAAGTTCTGAAGTTTCAGAGTTTCATTACTGCAGAAAAATGCATTACATACTAATTTTATGGAACAAGTTTAGGTAGATTAGACTGTGATTACTGTTCTCTCAGTAGGATTATTGAGGAAAAAATGGCTACACAAATACGATTAACTGATTCCTCAGCCTTTCGTACTTCGAATTCTCACCCAGAGTCTAAATGGTATTTTCATTGCCTGAGAATACAAAGTGAAATAAATTTGATGCAGCGTGGTTTACTGTTGAACAGTGTTAATCAAACTGTGTTAATCAAACATGGTGTTGTAGGGACATGGTAGATACTTGTGTGAGTAGGCCTTGTGTATCTGGCTTGTTCCAGATGTTGAAATCTGAGCAGCAAGGCTGTAGATCTCACCTTAGAGTCAAGGAGTTATGAATTTTGAATATGTTAATGTTCAGTTCAGAGCAAATATTGGGAAGCAACCCAAGGTTTTGGAGAGAGGAAGAGAGGAGTTAAACACAAGCTTAAACCACAGCTTAATTTTTTTTTTCATATAAAAATATTCTTCCTTGCTTAACTGTGTGTGTAGGGAACAAAAAATCAGGGTATGTTCCTGTAATTTTGTATGGTATGTTTTTTTTGGGAAACAGAATGAGGTGCATAATGAATACTTTTTAATTGGATGGAAGTATAGCTGTAAGCTGTTCTGTAATTCTGAAAGTAAAAGAGCAGAAAGTATTGATAATTTATATAAATCTGGGTTGTAACTGTTACCGTATCTCAAGAAGTAAGAAAACTGAATGTCAACTGTGTTAATGGCAAATTAAACTATAATTTCATGTGAGGAGCAGAAGGACAGCTTTCCCAAAACTCTTTGTTTATTTGGCTCTGTTTCAGAAAAGTCACAAGGTGGGAATAATTAAAAAGGACAAAAACCTTAAAAAACAGCCCAAAAGCAAACAACAAAACCAGTGACGCTGTTGTAGATAATTGTTTGTTCCCTTAGTTATGTTAGCAATGAAAAAAATATTTGAAGATAATAGTAGCATCTATATTACACTTAATATTTTTAAATGATTTTAAAGGTATGTTGGACAAAATTACAGATTGTATTTTTGATTGGGTTTGTATTTTTATTTTATTAACCTTCTTTTTGTAGAAGAACATAAATGTTTGAATACATGTTTTTCCTCTATATGAGTTTACAGCATCGGAGTTCCCTTAGTGCCGATTAAATTCAACTGAACTTTTGTTGCATCTACAAAAATCACAAATGTTGAAGTATGGGAATTTAGCACAAGCACAGAACTCTCAAGGGGCAGAAAAGTATTTAAAGTGATATATAAATGGATATGATATCTGCTTTACTGTCATTGAAGGATGTCATAGTTGTCCATCTGGGAATTTCTTAAATGTTGACCTTTTGGTTTGCAGTCTTTGGTTAACTAGGAACTTAATATGCATAATGATGAAACCACAGCACAGGAATTTTGAACAAGATACACCCTGCAAATTCAGCCTAGGTCTTGCTATCCGGTGATACATGAAACATCATATGAACTTGCAAAACTAGCAACAAAGCACTGTCATATAAGTAATTAATTAAATCAATCAGGTAATCAAAATATGATCTGGAGATTAAATACTAGAAAACTTAAATTTTCTAAAATTTAAATTTAAAAACATGTACTCAAATTTCTGGTCTCAAATGCACAGATGCAACTTGTATGAAAACCATCTGGAGCTGTACATATGTAGAAAAAATGTGTTCTTGAATATTATAGAAATTTCAGGCCAGAATGTTCGAAACACTGTGTTCTTTTTCATACATTTCATTTAGACAATTAAATAATACTTTTCATAGTATTATTTCTGTTTGGATTTTGGTGAGGGAATACTTAAACAAGCTGTACATGAGTAAGTCCAGGGACCCTGATGGGTTACACCCTCTAGTGTCATTGCAAGACCACTTTACATACTTGTTGATCAATCATGGCCACTGGGAGAAGTGCTCAAAGACTGGAGAAAGCAAATATCACTCCTGTCTTCAAGCCAGGGAACTACAGGCTGCTCAGCCTCACCTGAATCCCTGGAAAATGGTGATGGAAGAACTAATCCTGAAAACCATTTCCAGGCACAGGAAGGACAAGCAAATCATCAGGAGCAGTCAGCATGGCTACGCCAAGGGAAAGTCATGCTTGACAAACTTGATTAACTCCTATAATGAAGTAACTGGCCTGGTGGACAAGGTGAGAGCAGTGGCTGTTGTTTCCCTGTGCTGCAGGAGTGCCTGTGACACTCTCACCCATTTGATCCTTGTAGAGAAGCTGTGGATGAGCAGACAGTGACGTGCTTTGAAAACCGGCTGAACGGCCAGGCCCAGAAGGTTGCGAGCAGTGGCACAAGTCTAGTTGGGTGCCAGTGAGTAATGGTCAATACTGGGTACAACCCTGGTTAATATCTTTAGTGACGTGGTTGGAATGACAAGAAGCGAATGCTCAGGGGGATCTTATTAATGCGTAGGAATACCTGGAGAGAGACGGTAAAGAAGAAGGAGCCAGGCTCTTTTCAGTGGTGCTCAGTGACAGAACCAGAGGCAGTGGGCACAGACATACACAGGAGACTGAGCACATGAAAACACTTTTTTTACTGTGAGGGTGGCCAAGCACTTGCAGAGGTTGCCTAAATGACTTGTGGAGTCTCCATCCTTGGTGATACTTGGAATTTGTCTGGACACAGTCCACAGACTGGATGAGCTCTGGAGGTCCCTTCCAATGTCACTTAGCTGTGATTCAGTCATTAACTTCACAGATTTGATCAGGAAAAAAAAGGTAAGGAAACAAAAGTACTTTTGCTAAACAATATTTTTCTGTTCCACTTTAATTTATAGGGCTTGCATTATTAAAAGTCATGATTTTCGAATTTATAAATACTAGAATATTAATTTTTGCTTTAAAAGAGTTCATACTAACCTGACCATTTGTATGTATTTTTATATTTTTATATATATATATATAAAAATTTTCAATACTGTCTTGAAGTTTTATTTCATAGTAACAAAAATGATATACTAATAAATTTATTTTAAATATGACTCTAACTGAGAGGGCTGCAGACATTCCCGTACCAACATTTATACATACTTCCAATACACTTCTGTCATCAAAACCACATAGATTAATTATCCTCCTATTTAAGGATGTTGTGGGCTAGAGCCTTTGTTTTGGTTGATTTGCCTATGGCTTTTCTGTAGAATAAAGGACCTTACTAGTCATTTAAAAGCAAATAAATCCATTTATATCCACTGTTTAAAAAGAGGAATAGATTGCAGTAATACAAATGGTCATAACTCTCTTATGAAGAATCAATCTGTTCTATTTAAAAAGTTCCAAGTGATGTGAATCATCACCTTAATTTAAAACACTATTTCTTTGCAGTTTCTTCCATTTCTAATTAATTAATTGATCCCATAGTTACAAATAATCTCTGTACCAAATCTAGTGAGAGCTCATTAAAATTTTTTCAGACTGATTAAATGGCATTAGGATTTATGAGTCTCAGTGGACTTTTTATGTCATAGAACAGAGAAGTTCAAAGAGAAATTTCTGTGACTTTTTTGCTACAGAAGATGTAGTGAAAGAGCAATAGATTCAGAATGGTATGACATTCAAATATTTTGTAATTTTATTCTGTATTGTACAAATAAAACAGAGGATGAAGAAGGTTGATTTAGGACTTAATGTGACCATCATTTTTGTGAGTTTTTTGTAGAAAGGATGCTAAACCCTTTTTTTTTTATTATCCCCTTCTTTTTTTTCCTTTTTCTTTTTTTTCCCCGTTCAGCTTCACCATTTTTGGTGTATACATGTAGTGTATATATTTTACTTGCTATGGTTTTCAGATAAGCAGCTATTTTATGAGTGATGTTTCTCTTATTCCTGGAGGTTTAATTTATTAGGAGTACTTTATGTAAAGTACAGAAATTACAGACATGAACAGCCATTCTAGGTGGTGCACTGAGCTGTAAATTGGAATGTCTGCTGTTGAAATCATGTATTTTAGTCATCATAAATCTGCCACTTTTCCATTTTATAAATTAATTGACTTACACTCTTTCATGAATGTTTGCAATTTACAGATTTGTTATTTGAGAAATAACAAAAGCATTAAATGCAAAAGCACATGGACATTTTTCAGCTTAGTTCAAATCTACATCAATGGCTGTTTCTTCAAACTTGACTCTAGTCTGTCCTTTGCATAGGCCTATGTTACCAACTTTTCCTCATCTCACCTTCTAAATAGCTGTTTGTGGTATAAACCATTCTGATTTACACAAGTTCT